TCGTGCCATCCCACCAAGTGCCAATGGGAGCCCTCGCAGTCGGTTTACCATTTGGGCATTACAGTTAATACTGCGGAGGGGCTGTTTGAGGTGCCTGCGGGCAAGTTGGCCAAGTTGCGTCGGTTAGCTGTGGGGCTCCGGGTTACGGCCAAGAAGAATCGCCGTCTGGTTCAGAAGCGTGAGTTGGCGCAGCTGTGTGGTTTTGCTCAGAGTGTGAAGCTCGCCCTCACCCCCGCCCCCCTGTTTCTCCGTAATTTCTACGATGATCTTGCGCAGCCGGTTGGTTGGTCCGGTAAAGTGCGGCTGTCCCGTGGGTCTATGCGGGACCTAGATTGGTGGGCGGAGGTTCCCACCCGCCATTGTTCGGCAGCAATCCATTTGGGACCGGCGGCGGTTGAGCTGTCGGTGGATGCGTCCCGCCACTCTTGGGGTGCTGTGTTGCATGGTCGCACCGCGCGAGGTTACTGGTCGTTCGATGAGATTCCCGCACACATCAATTGGAAGGAGTTGCGGGCTGTGCGTTACGCTCTGGAGTCTTTTCTCCCTCTCGTTCGGCAGCGTGTTGTGTTGATTCGGGAGGATAACACCTGCACTCAGGCAGTTCTGGGTCGCCTGTCTTCGCGGTCACCAGCTATGCACGCGGAGTTGCAGTGTCTGTGGGAGTTCCTGCAAGAGCACAGCATCGTTTTGCAGGTGGAGAGGGTCGAGAGTGCGGCAAACGAGGCGGATGCTGCCTCCCGTTGGATCGATCGGGATGATTACCGNCTGCACCCCCGCTATTTTCGTCTCCTAGAGCATCTGTTTGGGCCGTATGATGTGGATCTGTTCGCCTCGCATCTCAACACGCATGTCCCGCGTTTCTTCTCGCGTTTTCACTGCCCCGGTTCGGCCGGCGTGAACGCCTTGCTTCAGCCCTGGGGTGGTTTGAATGCTTACGGCTGCCCGCCCTTGGATCCGGATGTGTTGTTGGCCGTGGTGCAGAAGGTGCGCGAAGAGAGGGCGTGCGTCACTTTGGTCGTGCCATACTGGACGGCGCAACCTTGGTGGCAGTTGCTGATGGAGCTGGCGGTGGACATAGTGTTTCTCCCCTCGAACACGGAGCTGTTCGCACCGGGGGAAGGGGGGTCGAGCCGCTTCCTGCCGCCCCCGCAGTGGCAGGTGGTGGCGGTACGAGTGCAGTGATCGACTGGGCCCTCCTGCGCGGCACACGCAGTGGTTCTGCCCCGGTTCCCCGTTATGCATTAGACTTTCGTGCTGCGGCTGCTCCCCCGGTTGTCACGAACCTGTTAGTGAAGCAGCTGCAGGCCGCCGCCCCAGGTCAGGACCACTCGGCTCGCCTGGAGCAGATTGCGGCCGTCATTGTGTCTCGAGTAGGCTCCAAGACTTGGCAATCGTATGCGTCTCATTTCGCGGCATTCGTGCGTTTCTGCGTCAGTGAAGACCTTGAGTTCTTGCCGGCGTCCCGGTATACCGGGTTGTTGTGGGCACAGTACCTGGCTGCCCGTGGTTCTGTTCGGGCTCGCACCGCGCAGCCCTACTTCAGCGCGGTTAATACAGTGCACGATTTGTTAGGGCTGGCTAAGCCGTGTGATGGGGATAATGTGCTGTTGTCGGCGTTCCGTAAGGGCTGGGAGCGGCTGCAGGTCTCACTGGCCCCTACCTCGTCCCTTGTCCTCGCCTTCAGTGCTTCGGACGCCTGGAGGCTATACGACCGGCTCCCGTCCGTCCCGGTTGCGTCGGATTTGTTTGTCCCTCTTTTTGTCGTCGTCCTTGGCTTCTGTCTATTTTTGCGTCCCGACTCCTTGCTGTCTGTCGTCTGGGCGCGGGTTTCGGTTGTTGAT